TGTACATATAATATCGACTATAGGAAACATCACATGCTGAGCATTGAGTTAGGGACCCGGGAATGTGTCATCTGGTATCTGAGGGAAGTCCATAGCAAGTAATCAGCCCCACAAACGTGAAACTGGTCTAAAACTTCCACAGGTCCATAACATCTTTGTCATTCTCAGAACAAGAAAATGCCCAGGACAGAAGTAGAAATAGGCCACACAGACTTCATGCAACCCACAACATAGAAGACAGAGTCGAGGAGGAAGATGGATGACCCAAAATCTGTGTGAGGACTTATGTGATTGGTTCACTCAATCTCCAAAACCTCACTCGCTGGGAACTGACACCCATGCAAGGGTTTCTGGAGGGCCCCCAATCGGAGGGGTGAACTGCATTTAGTTGTCTCACTCAGGGCATGTGTCATTCATCCAAAGGATCTTGTAACTCCTTTTACACCAGCAGAACACCACCGACCTACTCTGAACTGAATGGTTATAGTCTTCTTTGTGAAACTTATTCAGCATGTTGCCTGCATGGTCAACCACCCCAGTGGTTTGAAACTGGTGAGTGGTAAGGAGTCCCATACTCCAATGGAAAAAAGGGGGGGAATTGCGATGGAGAGTCCAGAGAGATAGCTACACCTGAGACAGTGCAATAGGTGATCACAAAACCCTATTTTGAAAATCAGAACATATCGACTTATTCAGTCCACGAATGGTAGGTATGAGCAGCAATCCCCTTATACTTTACCCATGCCATCCATGAGTGGTATGGTCTGGGACGTACATTTTTATGAAGCAAACATCACGAGGTTTTTCACAGTCTAGTTATCTTGTGAAACACTCCATGTCATGGGTGAGTGTTTATAGTCATGGACAAACTGCAAGAACCAACATGGCGTTCAGTGCAGATTTGTGTTTTTGTTTGTTTGAGTATAAACAAATCTGAAAATGGTTATAGCCATCTAAGTAAAACCCATTCAGTGTTCAGAAAGAATACCTGGTCAGGCACCACTCGCCACAGAGTGGGATCCAAAGTGAAGTTGAAGTAAGGGCTCATGAAAGAAAAGAAACCATAAGGAAGGACTTACATCGTGTCAAAGCCGCACTGAAGTAGAATAGCCACAGGCGGCAGGCGATACCCCAAGGAAGCAGAAATTGCGATGTGGTACAAGTAGTGGGAGATGAATCTGTGCAGAGTCGTCCACATGCTCGACTATAGAATCTCTTCCAATGGCTGACAAAAACGAGAAGCAAAAAAGAAGGTAAGGTGTCAGATTTGATGGGAAGGCATGGAAAAGAGATCATGCTGGAATAAGGAGGAATAATCCAACTGGATCAAATGATGAACCCATTTGGCCAAGGTAACATGGGAAAGATCACAGGAAGAGGAAGTTTGCCATGGAATAAAGAAGCGGGAATGAGAACCTAGGAAGGAAGCCATGCATGCAATATAACAATGGAGGGCATGTACTGGGCAGAGGAGTCTATCCAGATCTGGACAAGGGTAGAGATTAGAGATATGGGGAAAGGAGACAGGGTAAAAAGTGGAATGACCCTTTCGAGCCACAAAGTTCTGGGAAAGGAATGCATGATTCAGATAAAGAATGATGTAGGTTGAACGATACAAGGTCCTGATGTTGTTGAGAGCAAAAATATCTGATCCACGACGCTTGCAAGCCAATAAGAGGAGAAAATATGCCTTAACTCTTTCAGCACAGTCTCAGTCCCTGGGCGTGACCTCGTAACCATTTTGTGCTTGTTATAGTTTTCATGCTATAAATTCTAAATTAGTAAACATATGTTACCAACATTTGGCAGATTATTTGTAAAGATTGTAATGCTTTCATACGCAAAATATTACTTTTTATTAAGTCTTACGGTTTGTTAAGCAATGTTTTTCTCGTGCCTTTTTTTCTTTTCGCATGTTGCCTATCCAACATGTAAAGTAATTTGCATTTTAAGATTAAAAATACTTTTATGAAGAACTTTATATTTTATCTGCTATTTTCACTAATGAATCCAAATCTTCAAAACGAAAAATTCAATGACTTAGAGTTAGTGTAGTTTCAAGATAACCTTGAGAGTTTTGATATAGATGACATGCTCAACAGTGCATAAATAAAAAGATTATTTGATTTGCACTCAGTTGTCTCTGTGCAAGTTCTTTATTCCACACATAAACTGTTGGTGGCTTGTGTGCTATGCTCGTGGTAGCATGACACAATATCCAATTAAATTCCTTTGTAACTAGTGCAACGTCAACCCAATGACGAAGCCCACAGGTTGCCCACATGCCCTTTACAGAAGCCCTGTATTCTAGCATTGTAACTCTGGCACCTTACTGCTTACCTTTCAGGGAATGACCATAAAGAAGACAGCTAGTCAGCAGTACCTGACACCCATGCTAAAAGATTGACTGTCACTCTCATAATGCACCCAGCAATTAAAGTTAAGTGAAAATTTTGTGGTATCGTAAAAACTTTAGCCTAGTTTAACAGCTCCATAATCCAGAGTTTTACCACAGGGTCAACTCACATACCCAAAAATATGAGAGATTGGGTTTAACTATGATAGAAATAAAATCTTTTGTTTTCTTTACTTACTACAAATATAAATCCAGATATTAAGGATAAAATACAATATAGCTATAAAAATGTAAGAGGTGTTGGAAGTAACACCCAAAATACTTTTTGGAAAGATGTTGCACTACCTTGGGTGAATTTTTTTAAAGTATAAAAAATGAGAAAATAATTTCATAAAAGGGTCTTTATACTACAATCAAAAAATAATAATCAAAAAATTCTATCTCTCAGTTCTTGGATGATTTGTTTTTAGCACAAGGTTACATAATGGGATATTTGCATTCTGTACAACACAAGTCATAAAACCTCTTATGTCAGAATGTAAATCCATAAAATCACAGCTGACTCACAGGAGAACAATTGAAAGAAAAATTTTAAAAATGTATAGGTTACTTATTGTCAGATAAGGTATTTTTTTAATAATTATAAGGACTTTATAACTACATATAATTTTAAGCCTTATATAACTGATAATTGGGAAATACTGAACAAAAATGAGATAAATAACAAATATAAAATACAAAACTGTATGATGGAAATTAATTACCTTTTTTCTGCCAAATGCAACAAATGTTTAAAATAAATGTTGCAAGAATATTTATAATACTTCTTTAGAAAAGAAAATTAAAATTGTAAAGCCAAAACCTTAAGCAAATTAAAAATGTGTTTTTTCAAAATTAAAATATTGTTTGGTTATGTCAAAGAAATAACATATTTTTGCAGTGATTTAAAATTTTATATTTTTGTGAAAGTTTAAAAAATTATGTCATTAAATTATCAACTATTCTATATGGAATAAGAAGTAAATCATTACACTTTGATAAATATTTAGCATTTAACATATATAGAAGAAGATTGAGGAAAAATATCTTGTTATTACTTTTTCATTAAATTGCTCTATGCAAGGTATAAAACTGAATTTTGTATTTGAAAGAAAATGGAAATAATGATAAACTTAAAATTAATTGGAAAAAATGTCAAAGTGTTTGCAATTGGATATTTACTTTTGATATTTTTATATGTCTTGTATAGTTTGTTTGTTTGTTTTGTAATGAAGCACAAAGCTACATAATAGGCTATCTGTGCTCTGCACACCACGGGTATAGAAACCCAGATTCTAGCATTGTAAGTCCGCAGACATACTGCTGTGCCACTGGGGGGCATCTTGTAAAGTAGAATAATTAATGGGTCTTACTGTATTTGTGGTTAATGTGTGATTTAGGTAATGTAATATTGTAGATTTGATATGTTATTATTATGAAAATAATAATAAAACATATATGTGATGCGATTTTTGTATTCTTTGTAATTTTCTACTGGTACTTCACAGTCTACTCATCAACAATATGAAATTGCAAAAATGTTGATGAGCATTTGAATTGTTACAAAAGTATTAGCATAAATATTCAAAACAATTGTTAATAAATACTATTGAAAATAAGTAAAATGTTTCTTGACTCCCTAATGCAAAAAAGAATGACAATTTATGTTTTCTGTTGTTTTAATTTATAATTAGTATTGTTACGTCTCCGATCGTTAGTTAATTTTCCGTAAAAATTCTTACCGAAGAAACTTTACCGATACAAGTCCTTTCTTAAATAAAACTGGTTTATTCTTTCTGAATACAACTTTGCAATACACTTAATTTCAACAGTCGCTCTATAACAAACGCTATAATTCATAACGAACTTCTCACGTGCTCAACAATATTCTTACTCATCACCTCCCATTGTTTCTTGGCCGGTCTTATATACACAAGACTACCCCCAATCTAGTAGTCTCCCGACATTTCATGAAGGTTCGAGAAGGAAGTGGCGTGATACGAGCGTCACGTGACCTATCGTTGTCGTAACAGTATATTTAAACCTTTCACATTGTTACATGTGGTGCTTACAAACCAGTATATACACACACTCACACACTATTTACTATTATCATAGTAATTAACAGTTTTCTAGATATCAACTTGTTGTTAATAGTCTTTGGAACCAATTCTCAGTAAAAGTTGCAAAACATTAGTGTCTATTGGTAATATACTCTTTATGTGCTTTGTGTGTTTCATGCACTCAATGAGTCAGGGGTTAAATTCTATTGCCAAAGCTTTCTTACAATATTGGTATCATTAAAAGGAATTGTGTTATTTCATTTAAAAAAAAAAGAGTTCCACAAGGAACAACCTTTAAATAATATTGAAAACATGAAAAAAATAATTAAAAATTGGTAGAAAAGTATGCCTTATTGTCATCAATATAAGTATTGATACAAAACCAAATTATGGAAAATCAGTTAAATCACATCTTAACATTTGTTGTATTAAATTACCATATTTCTATTTGAAAAGTAACTTCCAACAATATCATTTAGAAATATCAAAACATTATTTGAATATCACTTGATCTTAAGCCTTTTATTATATTATTATCTTACCTTATTTGAATGGGTCCTGTTTTGATGTTTGGCTCTATCTGAAGCATTACTAAAAGTTTTGGTGCAGCCTGGAAACTCACACATATAAGGTTTCTCACCAGTGTGTGAACGTACATGGGTCTTCAGGTTCTCTAGCCTAGAGTATGCCTTATTACAATCTTCAAACTGAAATATGAATAAGAAATAGTTTATTTCTTCGAGATAACAATACCAATGAAGTGACTGATTTAGGGACAACTATTCAAAAGTAGCAGGAGGAGTTAATATGCACTGAGTTTTATTAGCAAATTGGATAAGTGTAAACAAAGTTATTCAAATAAATGTGCTAACATAAATACCATTTGTTGAAGATTGCTAAATTATACAATGATAACAGGACTAAAAGTATTTGAAACTATGAAAATCTCAGAATGTGACCTTTTTTGATCTCTAGTTTTTTAAATATGAAAATACATAATTTTCCATTAATTTTCACTGCAAAGAATGCCCTAATTCACTTAGGTTAGGCTATATTAAATAATAATTTATATATATATACATTTTAATATTAGAGCAATGGCTATTCTTAGCCAGACTAGTTTATAGTTTAGTCTATTGATAATAATAACTCAGGAGTGATGTTTTAACATATTTTCATTTAACATAACATAAAATTTTGACAAAAGACCTCTTCCTCCATCTAGGCTGGCCCATCCACTTTAATTGGTGGTTTCCAAACTTTCCCAAGTGCTGAAACAGAATCCTTTTGTGTGTGTCTCTATATATCGTTACGTCTCCGTTTGTTAATTAACTTTCCATAACTTCGTTCCAACAAAACTTTAGCGACACAAGTCCTTACTTAATAAAACTGGTTTATTCTTTCTGAATATAACTTTACGATACACTTATTTTCAACAATCGCGCTAAAACAAACGCTATATCAACGAACGCCAACAATACTTCTG